ACCATCCTGTTGGCATCCGTACTGTTATCACTCGAGGCCATCGGTTCCATTATCCAACTAGGGTTTGGCACTGATTGACTGAATAATGAACGGGAAGTATAAAAGAAAGTAAGCCCCATCCCTCTGGGTGGACTGGACTCACCATCAGCTGGCTTGCCGACCCGACAACCCACCCGTCAGCGGGGACGCCCCTGATGCCAGCTGCCAGGGAGAACCTGAATCCTCTTGGTGCAGCTCGAGCGTGGTGAGAACAATCCGGGGAAAACTATACCGGAGGGGTGGCCCATAAGGACAAGGAAAGGGCGAGAGCGGTCATTATACCGTGCATCCGAGAGCAGTCATTGTACTGTGTACTGTTGTACACTGTGTGTACTGTGCTACTGTTTTTAGTTCTTTACTATACTTCTGAGCTTTGTTATACTTGTAGATTGTCTGCTGTTAATTGTTTAGTGTTGTCCAGTGTCCGTCATATGTGTAGAACTGCTAAGATCTAATAAATTCTTATATCTGACAAATGATAATCTCTCAAGTTCAGTGCAACTAACCCCGGACCCTGAAGAACCCCAGACGCCCCTCTAGCGGTGCATCACAGCGAGACGTGCACCTACTGCTCTGCTTCCCACACACGTATCTGCTGGAGCTTCAGAAAAAAATTGTTGGCCATAAAAACATTGTTGGCCATGGTGCGGGGCTCAAGCAGCCTGTTGGCAGGTGGCCTTGTGCCTGTGTCAGCGTGTGTCACCACAAGGCGTAGGTGTAATCCCAGTACGTAAATGTGTCCAGTCTTGCTGGGGTGACTCATGACTGCTGGATGCGCTACTGGAGACATGATAAAATATTATGAAATATTATGCAGTTCATTCACCAGTTTTCACTCCCCTTGGTTCAGCAAAAAAAAGATCTTGCTGTGCCTGAAGCTGTTCTGGTTCATAAAACTGTTTTTGTTTTTAAAAGTAAAGTTAACACCACAGATAAACTTCAGGCTTAGACTGTGGCACGGCCAAGACAAGATGAATGACAGCCATCATTTCGCCACTTTAGTGAGTAGCTCTTCCCCCCGACAGTTAACACCTTTTTGACCTTAAATTTATTCATTTGCAGTTATTAATTAACCACATATGGTATACACAGATTCCACGATCGAGCTGGGATTTCATAGTCTAATAGTCTGCATAATTTGCATTTGCAGCACAGTGTCGTTAAATCACACCTTTTAACCTACACACATACATACACCAAATTTTAGAAAGTCAAAACAACTTGTTTCAAACTTTTTCAATTGCATAGTAACATAATTTGTTCTTCTTACATTTGGCAGACTATTAAATCAAAAACGTCATTGTCCGAAACCCTAATTAACAAAATAATAATAATAAAAAAAGGATCCCAAACCACAGACCTTAGCTGGGGCACAGGTAACTCACACTGTCCCTTGTGTTAGCGACTGAGGCTTTATGTCGTTTGGAGTCCGGCTCTCAAACTGAAAGTTTTGTGCCTGTATACCAGCCGCGTATAGTAAGTGAGGCATTTAAAAAGCAAAGCCCACAGCTATGCAGGAAGGAAAAGTCTTCTGCAAGTTAATCTTTTAATTGAATTTGTGAAAAACAGTGAATCGGCAAACCGCTGCTGCGCGGCTTGCCCAGGATCAGTGGCAGCCCTCCTGCCGTGCCTGTCTGGCAGGCAAAGGTGTTTCAGGCTCTCACGCTGCTCATCTGGCTGCCGAAATTAGCTGCAGCCATCAGTCACCGCAAATGCTTTTCATGTAAGTCAGTCTCTTCAAGCAGTGAAAAGAAAATTGCAGACAGCTGAAGGCTGTATGGTCAGTGTGGACAGACAGGTACTAGGAAATAATTTGCTTTTTTTCCTTCTCCTAGGTCGTTACACCTTTACGTGCATCGGTGGGAATGGCCTCGATGCGTTCATCCTTTGAGAGGATTGCACCCCTATTCCTTGCCGCTGTTCACTTTGGGCACGGCCCGTGGCTCCGTGAGGTTGAAAAGTATTTCCAGTGACTTCTGGGGGCTTTAGAAGTAGGTTTAAGTTAAAGGCTTAAATTCTGCAAGCAGTTAGCATGCGATTTCTTCCGAGAAAGCAACCCTAGTGCTCGCAGAAGGACTCTGATTTTGAAATTGCATTAAATATGCTAAAGGAAGGTTCACAGGGATTCAGCTTTTAAGAATAACGCACAGGCGCGGTGTCTT